GATCGCAGACACCTTCTCGGGATCAGTCTGAATTCCGTCACTGCTGATGACGTGGCCGAGGTAGACGAGTTTCTGCTTGAAGAAGCCACACTTCTTTGGATTTATCCTTAAATTCGCAGCCCGCAATCTGCGGAAAACTTCCGAGAGATGAGTAAAGTGCTGTTCTTCTGTCGCGCTTATGATAATAATATCGTCTAGGTAAGCGAAGGCGACCGGTTCCATTTCCACGCCGATTACACTATCCAGAGCGCGTTGAAACGTGGCGCTGGCAGAATGCAACCCGAAGGGCATGACCTTCCATTGATACAATCCTCTCCCAGGGACCGTGAACGCTGTATATTGGCGACTATTCCTAGCCATGGGAATTTGCCAATAGCCATGCTTCAAGTCCAACGTGGAGATATATCGGGCGTGGCGTAATTTCTCCAGAATGTGATTGATTCTCGGGACTGGGTAGGCGTCGGGCACTGAGTGTGCGTTTAACTGACGGTAATCTATACACATGCGCCAATCGCCAGTTTTCTTCTTGACCAATACGATGGGAGCGCTGTGTGGGCTTCTGGAGGGTTCGATGGCCCCGTCACGGAGCAGTTCGTCTACTTGGGCATCGATGATATGTTGCATCGCGGGGTTCCGGGGATAATATCTTTGTTTTACGGGCTTGTCGTCGCGCTTGACGATGGTGTGCTCGGCGACGTGAGACACCCCGTGCAGTTTCTCGAATAAGGCCAGTTCCCGATCGATGAAGCTTTGTTGCGCCGGACTCAATAATGTGCTCTGTCGCTGTTCTTCATTTTCTACCGTCCCCATCCTAATGGGCGCGCCGGCATTGATGCTCGGGGTCATAGCTCGCGTAGGAATAGGACTGGGTGTCTCTGCTTCTTCTGGCCTGGCAGTTCCCAAATGGTTGCCCCGCGCCTTTATAAGTACTGGCTGTAAGAAAGGGTCTCCAGCCGCTTGGGCTTCGTTTTGCAAGTCGAGTGTAGCTCGACCACATCGCACCTGAGTTCCCGCTACTTTGAGGAAGTCCATTCCAAGTATTACACGATCTAACATGGTGGGCATTACTAACATGGGTAAGAGCACCGTAGTGCCGGCCAACGTAACCGAGGTTCGCCAGAGCTTTGTCACATCCAGACATGACCGATCGGCCAACGCTATTCTAGTGACAACATCCTGTAACTCGTCTGCACGCGCGGCCAGTCGAGTAAAACTTTCACTGACGAAACTCCTCGATGCCCCTGTATCAATGGTGGCGTCCACACGTTGTCCTCCGACTTCTATCGCTGCTGTGATGAGCCCGCCGTGTAATCTCAACGGGGGTTTTACTGGGGTCGGGTTGCTGCTCCGTTCGTCTCCGCCGCACCCGGGTTCCGGCGGAGGCGTTCTCCGTTTCCCGACACATTTCGACGGCAACATTCTATCGTTAAAACTCCTGATCGCCCACAGTCCCAACAGAAATCCCGACGTGGGTTGGGGCAGTTCCTTTGGAGATGTCCGTTCTCTCCACAGCGATTACAAGCCCGCCGTATGTCCACTCGAGAGGTTCCTTGACCGATCATCTGGTGGGTCGCGTGTCCTGTCTGCGTTGAATTCACCGGATTCCGGAATGGGTTCGGCGATCGGCGAAGTTGAGGTTCATCTTGCTTCCTATCCATGGTTGCTTTTGGCTCGCGTCGAGTCGTCTCGAGTTGTTTGACACTCTCATATTCTGTGGCCATATGGGTCAACTGTGTCAAAGTCGCGAATTCACTGCGTTTAATATACAGTCGGTATTCTGGAGCCATGTTTTCATATGCCCGGTACAGTTCTTCCTCTTCTCGATAACCGGCTTGCTGCATCTTGGTTCTGAGCTCGATCAAGTAGGTCTTGAAAGGCTCTCCTCTCCGCTGCACGTGGGTCCGTATCTCATCTTCCAACCGCTCGAAATATCGAGGTGGCAGGAAGAAGTCGAGGAATTCCCTCCTGAAAGTTCCCCATGAGGCCGACTGTAGGTGGCTCGTGCGAAACCACCGCGCCCCCGGGCCCTCCAAGATCTCTGACATAACGCGGGGTACCTCCTCTGGATTTATCCTGTAAGTCGTCATCTTTTCCTCGAGCGCGGCGATGAGAGTCAACGGATCCGAACTCCCATCGAACCGTAAATTCCATTTGTGCATCTTGGAGTTGGAGCCGTGCTGCTCCGTGTGTCTTGTCCTTGTATGTCGGCGGGTAAGCGGGCGTCTACCGGTGGCATCCAGGTACCGTGCGTCGATCCTGGGTGGATCCCTCGATGGCGGGCTGGAGTCCCGATCGATGTGGCTCCGGACGTCATGGGAATGGTGAGGGATTCTGCGAACTGTCCCGTCTCACCGTTCCTGCCTGGAGGGTTCGGACTTGGGGCCCGGCTACTATATTGCTCCTGCAACTGAGCCAGTCGGTCCCACACGCTCTGTGGGAACGACCCTGTGTTGACGAGGTTGGCGAATACCTTCCTGGTCTCCTCGACGGTTCCGTCGGCTTTAAAACCAAACTCCAGGGCGAGAGAGCTGAGTTCGTCTTTTCGACGAGCGTATATCCAGCGGACTCCTATACCTGGATTCTTAACAAAATCGGCTTCTTCGTACTCACCGTCAGATTCCTTAGGGTTACTCATCATTGGTTATCCTCTTCGATTTAGTTTGGTGTGAACTTCCTTCTCAAGTCTTCTAGATCCTTCCGGAGATCGGTTCGGGTGACTCTACCCTTCTTTTTCTTCAGTGGGTCTTTAAGCCACTTGGGTGATTCTCTAGCTAGTCTCGGTGTCCCTGCTCGGGCGCCACTTGTAAGGATGCTCTCTGGCCGGGGTACAGATCTCAGTCAGATCCAGGAGTCCTTTACAAGAAATTTGTAAATCACCGAAACACCGGACTAGAGAGTATCATTCAACGAGTGAATGAGTCGTTTGGGGAGTCACGCCGAAGGTTCTCATAGACGCCGGGACGCTCCGAAAGCTAGGGTACTAGACCAGACGGGCCGGGTGTCCACGTGCCAGTCGCATGCGCTACGAGGAGGAAAGCTAGGGTACTAGACCAGACGGGCCGGGTGTCCGCGTGCCGGTCGCATGCGCTACGAGGAGGGAAGCTAGGGTACTAGACCAGACGGGCCGGATGTCCACGTACAGGCTACATGCACTACGAGGAGGGAAGCTAGGGTACTAGACCAAACGGGACGGGTGTCCACGTCGGGTCTCAAATGCTACGATGTGGGGAACCAAGATACTAGACCAGACGGGCCGGGTGTCCGCGTGCAGGTCTCAAATACTACGGGGAGGGAGGTTAGGATACTAGACCAGACGGGACGGATGTCCGCATATAGGCCACATGCACTACGAGGAAGGAAGCTAGGATACTACGAATAAAAAGAATCACGATCATGGAATTCAATCATTTACTTCTCTTTATTATTTTTCTAGGTTATTTTTATTTATCTTCTATCTTCCTACGGGTCCGCTACACCGTCTTTGCTTAACGGATAGGAATTTTGTATACACTAACCTCAAACACTAACTAGCCCACTTCTTCACTGACCGCGTGCCTTCGCGCGTTACGGGAGACACGTCCGCTCCGTTTTACTGTTCCGGCACGAGAGACCCGTATTCATTTGTCACGTGCCGTCGCGCGGTCGAGGCGTTACTCGGATTACACGGAAAATTACTGCGGGAGACACGTCCGCCCCGTCTTACCATTCCGACACAAGAGAGCTTGTGTCGAACCCACTCGGGTTCGGAACTTAGCTTAACTACGGCTTAATATTCAGTTTCAACTTAATATTTATTATTCATTATGCGTCGCTTACACCTATAACTTACATACTACTAACTTAATATTTAATATTTACGATCAGTCGCTTACACCTATAACCTTACATATTACTATTGGGCAATATGCGAGCCAAATTACATCTGCGGCGTCGCAAACAACAAATTTCTCTCTCTCTTTCTTTTACACTGTCCCCTTTCAATAATTTCTCAAAACTTTTCTTTTCTAATTTATGCATCTTTTCTTCCGGTTAAGTATCTAGCTTTTGATTTTGTCGCATGCACGCTCAATTCTGATTTTATTAATAGTAATACGTAGACAGTGTCAAGATCTGTACGAGCAAGACCTCCACCCCCCAAGCCGACGAGCTCGATCCGGAATATTTAGCGTGCGCAGCCAATACAGATCCTTGAAAACTTTAAATTACTTTGCACTTTAGTCGAACGTTACACGCTACAGTTATAATTTATTATTATTAATAAGAAAAGTAGACAGTGTCAAGATCTGTACGAGCAAGACCTCCACCCCCCAAGCCGACGAGCTAGAGCCGGAATATTTAGCGTGCGCAGCCAATACAGATCCTTGAAAACATTAAAGTACTTTGCACTTTAGTCGAACGTTACACGCTACAGTTATAATTTATTATTACACCTAAGTACACCTAAGTGTGTACGTTACATTATAAAAAAATGACTCAGGAAAGTTCTTACTGGGTTGAGTTACAAAAGAAAGGTAGTTGGATATTCAAGGTTTCAGAACCAACAAAGGCTAGGATACAATGTAATAATTTTCCACAAGAGTTAATTGATCTGCCGGAGCAAGGAATTCTAACAATAGTATCTGGCTGCACTATAAGAACTGATGACAAAATATTAATAGGTCATCATAGTATTAAGTCTGAAAATTATGAGCCTATAGCAATTTCTTATGTAAATAACATAAGTAAGATTCCAAGTATTGTTTGGAATCCGTTAACATTACCGGCCATCAATTATAATGAGGAAATAAACAAATTAAAGGACGAATTAAAAGAAATAAAAGAAAACCATTACGAAAATAAAGGACTGAATTTTCATCATATGTCAGGCCACGCTGCCTTAATCACAGGACTAATAATTATGGCAGTTTTAATCCTATATATAATAAGAAGAATTAATGTATCAAGGCAATAGTTCTTTCTAGCCCTTGGCAGAATGTTCAAACATAAATATAAGTATGAACATATAAGCTGAACGGAGCAGCCACTTGACCTCCTGTGAGCGGTCACAGAATATTTTAGTTACAAGTGCTATCAGGGTAGTTGTGATCTCCCTTATCGCACTTTAGAATGTTTTCACAGTTTAGGGATAAACAAGTCACTCCGTGGGTTATTCGAAATAAGATAATGACTTTAAATATAAGATTTTATGAGTTCTGTGCATGTCACTTGTCAATCGAGCCAGAGCCATAAATTACGATCTGTTACTTAAAATCCAAGGGAACATTTGTTTGCACTTGTAATCTGTACGTGCAGGCCATTTGAGCCTCTAAATATTATCACTTGAAATGTTTCCCACACTACACAAAGGACTTGGGCGGGGGTCAAAATATAGCTCTCCCGCTCAGGGCAAAACAGATGCGGTCTCTGCGTAGGCCATAGATAAGAATAGAATACGAAACACACCAATTTTACTTGCTAAGAAACATATTGAAATAAAAACAGTTTGAAATGATAACTCAACAAATGTAGACGTCTTTCATTAGATCGCTCTTACACCCGGGTTACCTAATCCTGAGCAGCTCCACGGGAAAATAAAGGAAGTGGATTAGGGTAAGTACAATTAAGCAATTTCAACATATAGTTAAATTTCGCGACCCAAATCAAATTTAGTTGGACATGCGGCAAAAAAGGGGATGTACGGTTTTAATTTCGAGTTAGCTATACAGTGATACCGATGGTAAAATAAATGCTTTCTCTTTCTTCTTTTTAGATGAATTAATTAGTTGATTTTTACAATTTCAGAAAAGCTAAAGGTGCCTGTTGGCCAAGAACATCTGCGAGGGATCATTTGGACGCGACGCAGAGGCAGGACGTCAGTTGTCGAAAACAGCCCTGATGCATTGCGTCGATGGCCGGAATAGGCCTGGATGCGGTGCGTCAACGGGTGGAAGTGCACCGGGAGTAGTGCGTCAGCAGAGTGTCGGTAGCCGCAGGAGCTAGCTAGTTGCTCGGCGCAGGTATTCGTTCCCGGAACGGACTCACCGAGGGACTGTTGCTGCGATTCGTTTGTTTATGCGAGTTCGTCGGTGAGTTCTGAAGCCCTCTATATAGGTGGCCCTATTTAACAAAATCTTTTAATTATAAGTATTTTTAGAATTATACACTACTTTTAAACAAATATATAAAAAAAAGACTATAACTTTTCTCCACAACCGTTTGTTTTTGATTTATTCCAGCTACTGAGACGAAAACCTGACCTACGAAACTGTCGTTCTGGATCAGTGGACGTACCCAAGGCCATCTCAGCAAAACCCTAGAGCAAACCGGGCTTTTTTAAATTGTCTAAAGGCAATTTTAGTTTTTTTTTAAGAATTTTACAAAAATGTGACAAAATACAGAAGTTATCTAATTTGTAAACAAGACTACAAAATATCGAACACAAACATTAATTTTTTGTAATTGTCTTCTATGTTTCCGTCTCTGTCTACAATATATTTTCCAAGGAAAAAAATATATTTTTTTAAATATAACATGCTATGAATTAAGGGAAACACTGAATTGTATAGGAGAAACTCGCGATTCTGCGAGATTATTTGAAGGGATAGCTGATTTTTCATTTGACAATACAGTGCGGTGGTGTATTAACAGCATATATTAATTATGTATGTATTAACATCTTAATTAAAATTGTTGTCAAAAATAGGATTTTCGTATTCTTAGCCATACTCCGGAATTCTAAGCTGATGGAACAAAAGTTTGTATGGGCCTTTTACTCAGTAGCAACCAGTTATGATGAAAAAGTACGAATGGTTCGTGGAAGTTATTGGCTGCATACCTGTGTAATCGAATGTGTTTTTTATATGCCTTTCCAATTTACTAAGGTTTGTTACAAATCATTTTCATGTGGTTAACAGGACTGTGGATTAAGTTTTAAGACCCACCGGAACCCATTCAGAAAACAGCGCAAGTTTTTAAGTGCGTAAAATCAGGTCATGTTTCGATTAACAGAAGCTCATTTATTTTTTTAACTATACGATTTTACGTAAGTGCGAGCAGGGCAAACGTATGACGATTCCAATAAGCAATGAATGCAGAAAGTTGACAGAACAAGATACCCGATAGTAAAATACTAGACGGAATTGTGTCAAGAAAAACAACATTCGATAAAATACCACCGGGGCCGATACATCAATGAACAAAATTGTATTTAAAAAGTAAAATTTTGCACATTAATTGGAGTTGACGACAAAACGGAATAAAAAAAATAGGCTTAAATGTATACGAAATATTTTTTGCCATTTAAAGGTAACTGAAAACCTTTAAACGTTAAATTTAGCGGGATAAACATAATATAATAAACAAATTAATAAAGTTTGAACTTAACGTTAAAATGGCAGTGTGACCGTGAACTTATTACCAAAAAAATCTCAAGCAGTGTCCATATAGTTGTCTCTGTCTCTGAGCGTCAATGAATCCGTCAATATATGAGGCAAACAATATAGTGTCATACTCGTATAACTACTTACTTACTACTTATCTGACTGCACTTTGATAGACGTAAGTGCAGTCAGATAACGGAAACCTTTCAATAGCCGCTATATACAACCCGCCCCGCTCTACAATTTCAGAAGGACGATTCATGAATTTTAACAACTTACTTGGAGATCGCTGCCCGAGACTATAATGCTTAACATACGCACTGGGGATCACGACTGGTGACTCCCAATTGTATAATGCAATCACAAATCTGAGCTACAAATTGGACTAGCCCTACATACTGGCCAGCAGACCCCAGAAAAGTTCCTGACTTGATAGATTTTGCGGTGACAAAAAGCATTCCACGCAACATATTAAGCGCCAAAGCGCTTAATGATCTTTCATCTGACCATTCGCCAGTGCCAATAACTCTTCTTCAAAGTAAAGAGACCACAGACCACCCCAACAGGCTGACATCGCACAGAAACACATGGTTAAAACATAAAAAGTATGTAAGTTCCCACATTGAACTAACCCCGCAGCTCAACATCGAAGCGGACATCGACTGTTCTACCGATGCTCTTGAAGATATACTCGTGGCAGCAGTCACTATTTCAACACCAAAATGGAAGGACGAGCAAACCAACCATTTTAAAACAATTCTACAAATTGAACAGCTTGTACTGAAAAAGATGCGATTGCGACGTGGATTGTCAAAACTAACAAATCGCCATCCTCAAAACAACGTAAACCGAGCCCTGAAGAAAGACGTTGAAAACGCACAACTACGGTACATCGAAAAACTTTCGCCAACCAATACAAAATATCCTCTGTGGAGGGCTCACCCTAATCTGATCTAATTAAACTTCCAAACTCTGCAATTGAGATTATTTGTAAACTCTTCCATGGGATCATGCGTTTTGGCTACTATCCGCGAAAATGGAAAAAATCATAATGGTACCGAGGCCCGGAAAAGACCACCCATATCTGGGAGCACACAATGTCAACCCGGCACATCAATTCGGCTTCCGTCAAAGCCATGAAACAATCGAATATGTTAACACAATAACATCAGAAATTCACACAGCCTTCGAGCAGCGGGAATGCTGCAGCTCAATTCTCAATTCTTCATGTATAAAATAAAAAGAAAACTTGCTATCTCTGAGCTTCAATGAATCCGTTAATGAATGAGCGATCTTCGCTTAACATAGGATGCAGGAGGGCAATCACCGCATCGGGGGTTTTCCTTTTAGAAGATTTTATTTCTCCAACTAGATTTTGAGCTACAAATATTTAAGAAGAACTGATGTCATCTTATTGTGTTATCACAATGTTGAATCTCTTCGTGCTCCAAACTATTTCCAACAAAACTATTTGTTTCGCGAACTTTTTATGTTTTATGGAAACCTGGACGCTTTCACACGAAGGTATAAGGGATTTCGACATTAAAAGGAGAATAAAAAGAAATCGTTTGAATGGTCTTGTGAGAAACGGAATCCTCATCATTACTAAGCAGAGTATTTCACAAAATGTTATAGCGATAGAAGAATTTTTGCAACATGATCAGTGACCATACGCGTTCAGCAGAACTATTTTAAGAAATCCGTCAGTGATCCAAGATTGTGGATTTAAATAGTTCCAAGCATGATTTTATTATTTAAAAGCGGAAGTAAATTAATCAAAAATAATCTACTAGGATAAGACTGCAACCTTACATTTTGATCCCAGTTCAAACCATGGAAGGCAAATGCACAAATTCTTAAAATTCCATAATTGGCCAACTGAGTTAAACTGACTTTTTTGTATGAAGCTGACCTGTCTGTTAGCAACAGATAAGCAATTTCCTAAAAACATGAGATTTTTTCATGAAAGCTTTTGAATCCTGAAACAGGTCTATATCTTGTGGTACAACACAATTTGTTTAAACTGAGATATTTAAAAATATGTTTTGGAACAATTTTTCAAGTGCACTTTTATTATACTTGTGAGAAAGATTCGTTGTTCTCTTTTAACATGTTGCTCAAATTGCTTCCGTAACTGCGGAAATGTTTACAAATAAAGACTGTCCGCGCCAAGGAGGGGCCACTGTCGATATTATTCGTTAACAGTCGAGAGCAGTTATGTCCAGATGAATTCTCATCTCGCTCTCGTTCTGTTAAAAGTCTCCACCCCCGCTCTCCTAACATTAGAATTAAGTAGAGTTAGTTAGTTCTAATTCCGAAGCCAGAGTGTGAAGTTTAACGTTGTGTGTCCATTAAATAAAAGTTGAAAAAAAAGAACCCAGCGAGTCGCCATTTCCACCAACCACTACCACGGGCAGAAATCCGCCAATCCCCCCACATCTTCATTTTTGGTCCTTCGAGCCGGATCGATCTGCGATTTCCAGCGGCACCGGTGGATTTCAAGAATAATAAAAGATAAGTACGATTTTGCTATTTCCAACCGATCGCCATTTTGCGACTCCACGGTTTTTCCATTTCCATTTTTATGTACATATTTACATACGTACATTCCAAAATATATTCACATACGTACATTCCAAAATATATTCACATACGTACATTCCCGAAAACATATTCACATACGTACATTCCAAAACATATTCACCCACGTACATTTCCGGAAACATATTCGCATACGTACATAATTTAAAATAATAATTTTACATATGTATCTACATTTGTATATTCTTGAAACATACATATATACGAAAACAAAATACAATACAGTCCACAACCAGCAAACATTCCAGCCGTTCATGTGTGTAAAAAAAAATAAACGCAAAGTGATCATAGGTATTCCAAATTAATTTATATCTTTGTCAATTATTTGTTTACATAAACAACATTAAACAAGTATATGTGAGAAATAACCAGACATATGACACGACGGAGCAGCAAATAAATTTAATAACGAAATACTCCAGCTCCACCTGCTTTTTTTTTGTAAATTTTTTTCCCTATACATATATACAAAATCCACTTGGGACAGTGGAAATATTGAACAGATTTCTTGTTACATTCCATTCATTCCGTCAAAGCTTGAGCAACCAATCCACTTGGGACAGTGGAAATATTCAACAGGGTTCTTGTTACATTCCATTCATTCCGCCACATATAAAAAGCCATATATTGGCATATATTAATATTATTGAATTTTATTTATAAACATAACTGCGCCATTCCATACACGAAGCAATAATAAACATCTTTAGTAAGGGGCAAGCAAAACATAATTAAATAATAAATACGGTATTATATATATATTTATATATATATATATATATATAGATATATATAGATATAGATATAATATATATATATATAAAATGCACCATAAAAATTGTTTTGGTGTTTTGCCAACTAACATTGTTTATTAATTTTTCCCTATTTTGTTACTAAGTAGTCATTGGCAAATCCCACAGCTGCGTGACTGCTCTGGATATATACAATTTATATATTTTGATATATTTCCTACATGCTTTGTTCCAAATAAAAATTGCCATTCATTCCATTCCATAAATTCCAGGTTTCTATTTACTGCTTATTAAACCAATTCATATTAAAATATTTTTGGCATCAAGATCAATACAAGTCCATTGATTTAAACATAAATTTTTTTCTTATTTACGGCGAATAGGGGCAATTTCCTGATCCATATTCTAGCATGCCCATAGGGGATAAGAAAAATTTGAAGACAACCCCGCGGGTAAGCTTAGAGCGTCCACGATCAGCGTCCCCTCGCGTGTCTCAGGGTAAACAAGAACCCAAAGCGTTGATATCCAACGCAAAAAGCGACAGCTCCTTAAACGCTCCTGTAGTTCCACAGATTAAAGTCACGCGATCCAGCGTAAAAATGGCCCAACGCGACGCAGTTTTATACAAATTTATTTCGATCTCTGACCGTCTGAGCACATTTGAAGCCAGAATAAACGTTTCAGGGGCTTCAGAGCC